CACTGTACTACTCTGCATCATCGTCCTGCCCTAGTGTGAAACAATCTTAAGTTTGAAATAAGTGGCTATGTTTACGTTGTACACCGCTTCCTCCATTCGAGTGTGTTTAAGGTGTTCGCCTACTGTTTTAACATTTTGTTTACGTGTCCTGCCCATGGTAACCAAATCTGATGGAATTTAGAGATTTTCCGTTCACTTAAATACGAGTTATTAATAGGTTTACGTTGAACATTTTATTATGAAGAAAAAAAAGCAAATTAATAATTAATTGATCCTTGTGTGAAAGATATATAGAAAAAGTTTAACGACGTTTTCTGTTTTAAATTTGCTAATTTTTTGGTATGTGGATTCCTGGCGCTGACACTTTTCATCATTCATTTCTTCCAGATATTTACGCAACTATAACATTAATAGAAAACTACTGAAATTTCCTTAAAAACCTCCTTGCTTCCTGCATTCAGGAAGTGCAAGGATCAGTTCCGTTTTAAAAAGCTGCGCGTGTTTCATGAGCTATTTTTGATCAATGTTTAAAAAAATCTTGACATGTTCGTTGCTCTATCGATGATAGACTCTTGGAAGAAGATAAAAAGAAGTGACGAAAGATTTGTTTTTAATTAAAACCAAGCAAGACTCGACAAGTGTTAAAATTTGTTTTATTAACTTTAGTCGTTTTGCGGTTGAGGCTACACGGTGTCCAACTGTTTTAGCTTTACAAAGTGTATGAAATAAATGTATTTAAAATATTCTTTTCAAAAGAGAGTCTCAGTGAGTGTGAACGCGTTGGTCAGGTGCGAGTGGACGGCGACTGTGTGTGGTCCGCGACCGCAAACTGTCCCGCGTCACGCGAACTGGACGCGACTGGTCTTTGACCTGAGTCCCTCATCGCCTGTCGCCTGTTCTCTTGTACTCAACACATATTAACATGTTGCGCTATTACAATTTGATGCTAAGAGGCCAAAGTAATGCTTAAAAAAACAAGCGTTTTTGTTTCAGTTATCTAAACGTTCCTTGACACGAATAACATAACTAAAGGGTTGTTTTTTATAAGTGATTTTATACTAGAAAAGTATAGTAAATATAATATTTAACTTTCTTTAATGGCAACCCTAAAGAGTCTTCAAGGAATTAATCATATTCAAGTAGGTATGTAGGTATGTAGGTGGTATGGCGCCATTTATAGGAAAAACATATGTCATAGACACAGAAAATGATAACCTATCATGTTGTTATTTAAGAAGTATTAATAATTGTTTTCCACTTGATTTTAAGTAGTTCTTTATATAGCTGATTCACCTTTAAATTATTCCTTGGAGGGATTATACCTAGGTCATTCATTCAGCATTTAGAAATTAACTTTTCTTTCGATAGCCTAGTGTATTACAATTGCGGCATAAAATAAAAAAAACACATCGTATTTTTTAAACAAACCGCCCAACTGTTACAAGTACGTGGAAAAAGATAAATTTAGACAATTCTTGAAAACATTTGGCGTAATTCGGCAAAGTGGAACATCTGTTGTTTTCAAAATGCACTCTTTATTTATGTATCATCAAGTACGTAATAAAACGTATCTTTAATTATCATAAAACAATTTATTGCGAACGTATAAGTCTCAATAAAAGTAATAGACTTTGTACCAACAACACTTTATGTCATAACTGTACATCAACGCGCTTGCATTGTGCGAACATTTCATAGGCCAGTGTGTACAGTCCAGGACATTAATTTCCTACCCATTTGGAAGAAATTTTATAAAACGCTCACAGTTCAATTAAGTCAAAAACATGTTATATCAAAATACAAGTGTTTCTAATGATAGGTCTTATAGTCACAGTATTTTGTACGATATTGTATTTTGAACTTAAATGGTAAGCTAATTTAATTCTGTACCTGTACAGTCGCATGCAAGATCACGCATGGTGACTACGGCCACACGAGAGATCGTGATTCATTTAGCACTTGAGGCGAGATATCGCGTTATGCTCAGCCCACGCCGCGGCGGTCAACGTGTTAACATTGTCACGCTGGGAATAAAGAAGTAAAACAAATACAAGTAAATTAACTATCACGCGATCTGAGTTTCACCGTTTTAATACACGTAAGTTTGTTGACCTTTATAACCGTAGGTTTACACTGCTTTAAAACCGATTGCAACATATTATACTCTCTTTTTTCAAAAAGGAAGGAAGACTGTGTTTATCTTTTTACTCTAAATTTAACAAATCATTTACATTTATGACATCGCAACGGTTTATACGTTCAGAAAATAACCTCATAGCGTTTCTATTGAACATATTCGATGCTATTGCCATTTTATGTTCCCACAATGTAGTGAACCGTTGACGTGTTTGTGTGTAAGGGCCATGCATTTGCATACGACGCTCGTTCTGACCTGTACCGTCTTCATCTCAGCAAATATACGGCCCAGCTAATACCAAACACGTTACTCTAAACATATTTAATTACGGAAGTCACTACATAATCTTGTGTTAAATTATTTATCGTACCGTTTTTAGTGTTTTTTTATCCATTTACTAGTTTAAACCTTTTTGGTTAGAGAAATATTTACTTAAAAAAAATATAAGAATAATTTTCATAGAATTGTCATAACTTATTACTTCTCCACTTTTGACTAAATTAATAAGCTATTTCGTTTATTAATATTAATTACCATAGTTAAATTAATAGATAAATATCAATTAAACTCTTATCACTAATTAATACTCTTGTACAGTCAGCGTCAAAAAATATACGACTAATAAAGCGCAAGCATCAAACACACTCCAAATTACTGTCAAATAAAAATCTAGTAAATTTAATAAATGCATTGTAAGCAACATCTAGATAATTGTAAATATAAGTTAAATACTTCACAAAAAAATTACGCGTTATGTACGCGAGTGTACATTTCCATCTTGTCCGACATAAAACGTCATCATTATGACTATCATTATTTTAAACTGTGTCATTAATTTAATCTAATAAAGTAATCGTCGAATGCAAACATATAACAACTGTCTACACGACTGTACTTAGTATATTTGTGGCCGGCAAATCGTGTACTCCGTCAGATTGTAATTTGTCTAACTTTAAGTAAGTTTTGTAATATAATATTTACAAATTGCTGACATACAGGTCACTTTGTTTATTCATTGATTTTTACTATGCAATTACAAATTGCCTAATTACAAACCGACGGAGTACACGATTTGCCGGCGACATGTTCAAGTTCAATGTGCACCTCTCAAGAGACTGGGCCGTTAACTATCCGCTTTATTGACGTAGATAGAGGAAGGGCAGCGCACAAGCGATCATATTGATGAGTTATCGGCCAGTGTGAACGGGCCTTTATCGCTCGCTCTAACATCTGGCACTTCACTGCGCCTGCGCATGTCGTTACTGCAACTTACACTGAACGCCTGGGAATTTATAATACTTGAATGCTGATTATTGCTTTCTAATTTATCACAAAGAAATTCATTTACGACTGAAGTAGTTACTATATAATATTACTTGATTTATTTAAAATTTTCGTCCAAAAAAAGGTATTCAAAAGTACTTAGTATTTTAACGGTTTCAGTGAACTTTGTTGAAATAACAAACTAGTGTTACGAAATAATGATTTATTCGTGGTCTTTGATCGTCTTTCTTTTGTCGTTGGTCACGGCCAGTTCTTTTAAGATGCGTCTTAATTTATTACGCTCATAAACACCGCCGCCGAACACGACTGTCTACATTCGCCGGGTTCACATTTGAAGCGTAGATAACTTAAATTTAACTGATAAAATGCAAATGCTTACATTACCTCTTGTTCGAGCCAGTACTTTTACAGTCAAAGAATTAAATTTGGTTCCCACTTAGGATCGTATATGATACAGCAAATTTAGAAGCTAAAGGCCTGTTCACACAAGTAGGGGCGGAGAACGGGCAAAGAAATAGTTTTTTTTTGGAATTAAAGCCGTGTAAACTAAAATTAAACCTTGTGGCAGTCCAATAAATGTTCTGCTCTTCGCCCCGGAATGTCGGTCTATGCGCTATTATTTATTGTATATGTATGTTGCTATGAAACATTTTTGACTTAAACTTTCGTACATTTCCCTGGGTAGGAAACAATTGTCCTTGATTGCACATCGTAGAATTAACCACGGCTTACTGACAATAACAATATCCCATAACCTGTCCACATTATACAGCTGTGTTAGATATATGTCCACTGCTAGGCTTATATGTATAACCTTTCACCCGTCTGCATAGATTAAGCCTTTATTATCGTTGGTTAGAACATTTTGTTTGAACTTTGATGCAAGAATGGACTAAAAGTCCATTGCGATTCTTTGGATGTTATGCAGCAATACAAGTAAATAGCTTGTTTCGATTTGGTTTAGTTCGCTGTGGTAAGTTTAAGCATGTAAAAGTAATTTACCCATTTCCTCTCAATGATGGCTGTAGCTTTATTTTATTTTACAGTTGTAAGCAATTAAAAGGTATTGTCTTTCACGCAAACATTATCATGCAGATGATAATCATATTTACCAAAGATAATTGTACACTACGTTAAAGCCTTTCATATTAAAAGTTCAATGTAACGAATACGGCGCTACAAGATTTCTCAATTAACGCGTTACCATGACAACGCTGGTATAAGTAACTTTATCTTAAGAGGTGTCAGAATTTTAATAACATAGCGATAACTTGATACACAGTTCGAGTCATAAAACACACACCTTAATAGTTGACACCTTATTTTTACCTTCGAAAATAGAGGTTTATTTTAGTCTTATTGTTAATCTTTTAAAGATATAAAAGGTAAAAAGTGTAAAAGTAATCTTTTAAAGACATAAAACATGATTTATAAAAATTTTCATTAGTCGAACAGAGTTTCGTCTTACATAATAGCAGTCACCAGATTAGGAATCTATAGAAGGAAAAAATACCATTGTTCCGCGAGTTTTGTTGTCTCAATCGAACTATGTAGTAATAATATCTAAATGTGTCCCCAGGTCGCGCTGTGCTAGATCGGCTGAGCAGCACAACACTAAGCGAGATACCGGCGGGGGGCGCAGAGGTCGCCAGCAGAAGCGGGCTGCTGCCGGCGCCGCTCGACGCCGCCGCGTACTCCGTGGTCGCTGCAAATGCTACGTGCGGAGACAACGGACCTGAGGACTTCTGCCGGGACACGCCGGGAAAGTAAGTCATTGTGGTAACGTGATAGGAACAATACTACTTAAAAACTCTTTAAATATTTGCTTATAATTAACAGTACTCTTTCTGTGTAACTTTTCATCGGTCTCGGCCATGGTTAACAGTTATTTTTTCTTTTGTATCAAGGTTTATTTTATTGACAACTCTTTCTTTTTATGTTATCAGACGAGGCTTAGTATGCGATGTATGTGAGGGTGTGGATGGGTCGCCAGCGCGACGTCACCCGGCCGTGCTTGCGCTGGACGGAGACCCTACTACCTGGTGGCAGAGTCCTACCCACGCTGGCGGCCAGGAGTTCAGCCATATTGAGCTCGTTGCAACACTGCCCGCTGTAAGTAACTTTACATTTGTTTAAATATACATAAAATCTGGTAAGTAACTTTGAAAGCAACGAAACTACATATATAGAAAATAACTATAATTCGATTTAAGCATCAATTTTTATGCATAATTTCTTAACATGTATGATTTTATCCAACCCATTTATTATGTCATATTTCATCAAACATGATTTATGTACTTAATTATATTAACTAACATAAATTATATGTAAATCTCAGGTAATGATGAAAATAATTTCATTCCCACAATATATCTAGCTCACCATAGGAATCTTAATCACTATATTTCGTTCAGATCGTGTAATATATTGCTAATAGAAATGGTAATAAGATGCATTTACAATAATAATTAAAATTCACATTTCGCTAGTTAAAGGTTAAGCTAACCTTTAACTTTCACTTTCGCGATAGACCTCCCAGGTGAAATTATTTTAGATTAACATTTTAGAACTGGCGACAGCTTTGTAATTTGTGGTTTTAAATAAGAAGGGATAAAAAATTTCAATGGTATTTTCGCATCCTTGTTACCTACGATTATGGTGTTGGGCTACCAAGAACACAACTAATATAATTATTTACAGCCTTAACATTGTTCCTGTACTTTAAATATTTATTTTATGAGGTTCAGGACGACGTAAACACTTATTTAATGTTGTGCTAACTGCTAAACGATGTTTTACAAAACAATGGCTTTATTCTAAAGATTTGTAGACAGAACGACTGGCAATCAATCTTTGGTATAGTTGGTTTACAAATTGACAACGCAAATGTTACTCTTTAATATTCTTTAAGGTCTGAATGACATTATCACTGCAATTTATTCGCCAGGAAACTAACATTATCATTTTAGTGACACTCCAAAGATGCCTCGTGAAATAATGACAGAAATGCAGAGATATATACCCCTAGACAGGGTCAATACATTAATTTGTACTATAACAATGCGAAATTAAAAGAAATATTTTGTTAACACGACAGCCAAAAAGCCAATAGTCAAAAAGTTTCGATAATGGACAATGGACGAGACAATTAATTTCTTGACAACACGAAAACTCTTAAATCGTCACATGCTTACCTCTTTAAATGATAAGATGTCTTGCCTTTAATCAGTTATTCAACTCTTAACATCTCAAAGACGACAACAAAGATGTCTTCAACCAACCAGAGATAGACGAAATCAGTGTATTCAGAAATATTATACATTCCCTTGATCTTGTATATAACAAATGTTCAAATTAAATAGAGACACGGATTCCTTCTGAAAATTAAACTAACTATAAGCATGGGTTAGGCCAAAATGTAGAAATTATTGCGAGCTATAGACGATTGTTGTCGACGTAATATTACGTAGGGCCTGGCGCCTAGTCTAGGTAGAGCTCGGCAATACATTGCAGTGTACGCGGGGAGCTATTAGGCGGATAGCACAGGCCAAGCAGTATTGACTCCCTTTATCTTACCCATAAATCGAAAACAGCCGTAGCGCTTGTGCCGACTAGAGTGACCATGCTTTATGTATTGTGAAACTGATATTCGATTTTAGACATTTCTATCAGTATTTGAATTTTGAAGTGTTTATAAAATTGTGTTGAATCTTTTAAATTTATTCTATTTCTAATATATAAATAAAGATTATTTGCTTAATGTTAGAAATGTTATAGTAGGATGTACAAATTTATATAATTATATTTGTCACAACTACTGTAGAAACTTATCAAAGTCCTGAATTAATTGTTCAAAAACATTCTGTTCCATTTATTAAACGTGAAGTATAATTTGTCTTATTCATGTACTTAGTATGGTAACAATAAGTTATGTTTCTCGTGACACAATAGTCGCCGCACGGAATAACAAAACGTCGATTCAAGATAAGATATGATCGAATCCGATATTTTATTTAACAAAATACGTTGAGAATGTTTCAGAAAAAATATGATAAAAGTATGAAAAAGTAGCTCGACCACTTAACCGTGTCGATAAGGGGCAAGGGATGGTCAATAAATTAGGTCGCACGCACGACCACCCGTCACTGCGGAATGGCCTGTGCGCCGCGCCACCTCTATCCATAAATTATCCCTATGTCTGTTCGGGCGTCGCATGACTAGGATAAAAATGTTTAATGAATACACTGGACTTTGTCAAACCATGTAAACTAGCCAAGGATTCTAAAAAAAAATTCGAAATTTCGTTCATTTTTTTCCTTTATTCTAGAAGATTCAGTCTTGTTTTATTTAAGTCACATATCTTTCATCTGAACCACGTTAGAAGAGAGACGAAACACCCAATTTGAAAAGTAGTTTTGATTTTGTTTTTTTTTTATGCAATTGCCATTTGTGTCTGACTCAATGATTGGTGCTCGATGACCATAGAACTTAAAAACACTATTTTCTTTTTGTATAACCCATAGGTTTAAAAACGACAAAGTACATAATGGCGTATAAGAGCAGCAATAAATAAAACACTTCAAATTTCCACAAAACTCAATGAATTCTTAATCGTGTTGTAACAATAGAGTCGCTTGTGGGTCGGGTGGGGCGAACAATGGGGCAAATAGCCGCATATCGGGATAATAGGCCCTCGATACCGATCTACGTTACATCGTCAGCGGACGCCGTAATGGGCCGTGGGGCGCTACGTGAATCATTGTTGTACGGTGACCATACAGCACTATAATTTAAAGGATACTAATAAATATTGTTCAGGATGAGACACAATTATGTACTGCACTTAAGAAAAACCTTTGAATACATCACCTCATATTAAACATAAAATGAAATTTAATTGTATCAGCTGCACTAAATTATCATGAATTTTAGGACAGTAAAATTAAATAAATACTACATGATACCTTACAGGTTTATGCCCTGATACTTATTTCCCTACTGCGGATTCTTTTGCAATGTTATATCGTCTACTTTCCGCCCTCCGACAGCTGGGAAACTTAATCGCTACGAAAAACAACTGCAAATGCCGACGTGTGAAAGTTTAATGAGTACAGTCGCGTGCTACATGTCCTTGTTATTTAAATTAACACACTTGTCCTGGACTGATTCGCGTCGTAAAGCATTTCATAAATGTGACAGTGTATCATCATAAACAAAAGTGATTAGTGGCATTATTACAAAAAAAAAATTAAGTAATTATTAAACAAATAAGTAGTATAGAAGCATAAAGTGTTTATGAAGAAAAGAAATTACTCAAATTGTTTGTTACTTCAACATGAAACGTTGAACTAATAAATAGATGTTTTGATTCCATGAAAAAAAAACAGAAAATATATGGTTTGTTCGAAATAAATATATTTGTAATAAGAGTTTTATTAGTAGTTGTTTGTTTTTAAATTAATTATTTTCAACATTAAACTGTTACAAAACCATTGTAACAGTGATTGTACTTCCGTCCAATTTATCCGACATTGTTTTTACAAAAGTGGTATCGTAAAGGTTACCTGGGATGGTCATTTATTGTGGTTATGAATGGCGGTCGGCGCGGTGCGGCGCGGCGGCGGCACAGATTGTCACCCTTCTGACAAATTTACAAAGAATTTGTCGCATGCTCTGTTTTGTGCATACGCTCATGGTTGAAGGCTCAAATAATCGAGGCATAAAATTGGTAATCACGATATATATACATAGGTCTAGCAATAAAATTAGCGTTTACAATGTAATATGAACACAAAATGGAAAGGTCATGTAGGTAGATTTCGGCGTTAAGTCTTCACTTTTAAGAGTTTTGGTAATGATATTAGCATAAGAATTTGGCAATTTTAATGTTTTTTAAATGGTTCTATCACAAAAGTAATATTGTTATTAATAATTTTGTATAGTTTTTTGTTAAGTTTAGTATGAGAGGCGTGGAAGGTCTCTGGAAGGCGGCGTGGCTTTATCTGATCAATTCCAGATAAGGTGATGATGGATGGCGTCTGCGCCCCCTCTCATTAGCCTCTCCAGTACTGTTCATCTTTAATCTTATGCTATGAGATCTTTATTAATACGTACTTTTTTATGTTTTATTAATATTTGTATATATTTAATGATTCAATTTTTACCATAAGTTTTCAAAATACGAATGAATAAATAAAAATTAATACGATGCTGTGATTTTTGAATATTTTCGTATTTATGAAAAAATTATAAGTGCGAATGTTTAGATGTATGGACGGATGGATAGATGAATGTTTGTTGATAGGCCGAAAGACTCAATGGTTCTCGACAAAAATTTGGCTTCGATGTAGAACATAGTCTGGAAGAACGCATACGCTACTAAAGAAGTTCTTTTATTCCATTCCGCGTGGACGGAGTCGCGGGCGACAGCTAGTATATCATACAAAGTTTAAACCCTTGACCGTCAGATAAGACGAACTGGCAATCCCTAATCTTGTAGTAACCATTTCAATAGTAATTACATTCATAATATCCGGATGTTAACGTATATTTATAACTTAATCCAATTTCCGCTGCGAGGCTATTAATGCTTAATTAAATCAACCCATTTTATTTAAAACCTATTTTATATTTATCGGATGTTCGAATTTTAAAAAGAAACCGGTTGGCAAGTTTGTGTTATATTTATATTCTTTATAAAATAAACTAAAAATATAAAGAAAGTGTACGCGGAATAGCTTTATCTTTTATCAATAACAGTGTGCAATATTGATTGTAAATTACTTTAATAATTTACTACATCTATATTAGTGATAGAAATTGATAAAAGTTGTAAAGATAATTTATTGAAATCATCAAAAAATGATAATGACGAATACTATAAAGATATAAGGGGAGTAATAAGTTATTTTTTTATATCATAAGGTGGCAAACGAGCGAACGGCCACCTGAAATGGCTGAAATAGCGAAGTGACCGTTGTCCATAGACATACGCAATTGCATATACGTTGCTTACCTTTAATCGACGGAGGAGAGGATGTACTGAAAGAAAACATTTCCATGCATCCTCTCATCCGGAAAGTCCACTTCCACTTCCCATCCTTTCCTTATAAGAAAAAGCTTAGGAAGGAAAAGAGGACTAAATTAGGCCTCCGGGACGCACACTCATCAGACGAAATGCGGAATTGGTTGCACTTCACGCATGTCTTCTGTGTGGTCGTGGTATTTCACCGGACGAGCAGGACCAATACATTCGAAGATCATAAAGCGGGTTCTACCACTGTTAAATTGTTGTTTTTTTTTTAAACTGGTTTGTACATTATAAAATGATTTTTCTATATAAAAATATGTGTGTTTCACTGCTCCAGTGTTGCCCTCTTCCAGTGCAAACAAACATTAAACCACCAGTCCATCTTATAAAAAGTCTACTTACTTGTGTACTAAACATCCAATACTTTAGTATTTCCACGTGACGTAGATCACGGTTTAATTTTATAACAACAATATTTAATGTATAACAGATTTATCTGAATGACGTAGATGATAAGATAACAAAGAGGGGACATAAAAATTCCCAAGTTGTCTGAACAGGTTCAAATAATACATCAGACGCTTTGTTGGTGTCAATGTTTTAGTATTTGTTGATTAATTAACGAAAATGCTTAATAAAATAAATATTCAGCGACAAAGTATTCAGTAAAAAAAAACAAAGTAAAAACAAAAAATCTAAATGTACTTTTTAATTTGTTTAAAATTAAGTTTTATAATAAATCAGTCCCTTATATTTATACTATCTTAAAATTTTTATTATACTATTTACAATTTATACGAAAAATCACGAAATAAGAATGATTTGCAAAAAATAAATACATAAAAATAACATTATCAATTTTTATGGCATTCGAGAAATTTCGATGGATACATGAGTAATAAGATTACTTTTATCTTGAAAGGGATATTTGACACGTATTATCCAAGCAAAAATATAAAATCAAACATGGATAGCAACATATATGTACCTTAAACTGATAGAAATTTTTACAACCGATTGATAATATTATCAAAAATTTTACTTAACATATGACAACATCGTATAAATATTTATATCTCAAGCAAGACAGTAATTAATGATAGTCTTTGATATGTGTTTAAAAAGTTAGTTTCCGCTGCTTACAAAAGAAAGTATATTATGAATAATTATTTTAGTTTCTTTTAGAAAGATTAAAAGTGCTACATTGGTTTTGTACAAACTAATGCGCAGTGGAAGCGCACAGTTTAATGTTTTTAACCTTAATAAGTATGTAAACATTCTATTTATAAGAACACAGTTTATTTATAAAAGGATATAACGTTACAACTGCAATGAATGATCTTAAACAAAGCGAGGTATTAATAGCGTACCATATGATAACGTATAGAGTAGATTTCGCATAATTATTTTGTCTACTGATCATATATTTCATACCAATGCTATAATAATTTCGATGGAAAAGGTTCAAGAGTCAGCCGTCACCATCTAGCCGAGGTAACCACCGTGCCATAGGTTAGAGAGAAACCTATGAAAAGTGGTTGATTGTTTAATATGTCGCATCACGCAACATACAAAATTCAAATTTCGCTATCAAGTTGTTCATGTAATATATGGATTATTGACATTAATTTAACTAAACTTATCTATTTATACATTTTGTACAATCGAATATGCAAGTCTTGGTATCACTAACAATAAGATAGGTCCGCGTATCAGTCGCAATGTCCAATTAGCAACCATTCCGACTGACATAGGCGCGGCTCGCTGTCCATGTCTGACAAACGTATAAAGAAAAAGCACAATTCGCATCAGTCACACTAAACTGCAGAAATCTGTCGTAAACCGAATTGTAGAACTAAAAAAAAATATTTTTTATAACTTATACTTTTGACAGCGGCTGACCGCGCTCTTGTACGATTATGACGATTCTAAGATAGAGTACGTCTTCAATCGGGTGCTAGATTAGTTCTGAAGAGTCCGGGAATGTTGTCGGTGTCACCTTTCTTCAGCGCCACTGTCAACGCAAGCCCGATGACAGCGCCCGTCAGGACCGCAACTGCGATCGCCATTATTCTCTGCGCGAACGTCCATTTTGAACAAGTCCAGTATTGTTCCCGGATCACACTACAAGAAAGAATACTTTAATTGGAACTTCATCGCTATTTAAAAAAAAATAAAGTAAATTATATATATTAATACGTGATATCATTTTTATGTAAGACAAACAAAATACGGTAAATTTAATTATTAAAACTAAAACATTGCCGCAATTGCTACGAGTATAATGTGACCTTGACCCGCCAAAGAATTGTCTTATTAGCCTTTTTGTTATTTAAGTTGACCATTGTCCTATAAAAATACTACAAAGCACAATATACCAGTCCTATATAATTTGACATTTGCTTTTACGCCTTTTTTACTAAATTCATTGAACCTTATCCGTTTGATCCATCACCGGCTGGCGTTTGATCGATGTTGATGTTGCCACTCCTATAGCCTTGCCTATCTTATCGGCTTGCAAACAAATCAATGGAAACAAAAAATATGGCCGCTGTCAGAAACTACTGTTAATTATACAATGGAAATATAAAGTATAAACTCTAAATAGGATTAATTACATTTAAAAAAGACGATATCATTACGACATTATTCTGTGATGAAATCGAATTCCGAACTGTTTCTTTTAAATCAAGCACCTATCACCGAACTACTAACACTTCTTAAAATAAAACAATATAACAGCAATCATTTATCCAGTATGTCATTCCATACACAAAAAAAACTAATACGCAGAGTAATTAAACTTAGTCGGGTAAACACTAACTAAGCTATAATCGATCACGTTGTTACATACAGGGTGTTACATATATCTATTTAGAGTAAAAACCCACCTGGTAGGCGGTTCAGTCACACGAACAGAATTAATACTATTAACACTGCCCACGTAAGCAGAGTTCACATAAACAAAGTCACTACTGCTTGACACTTTGGGGGTTCCCCTTTTCTCGTAACGCGTGAAGTCTCGCGAATGTCTCATGTTATGCACCCTCACATCTTGCAGACTCGTCTCCGGGTTGGTGATCGATGTTTTGGACATATTCACGTCTGACTGACTGACTCACATGACAATGGATATGGCTACACGACTGAAGTGTGACTGAAAACTAGATATTATATCGAGCGGCTCTAATCGTTATCAGTTAGATAACGGTGTAGGCTTCCGATATGTGTGGTAGGGTAAATGGGTCGCTTTTGTTTTTTTAAATATAACTTTTGTTTGTGTATTAACTAAGCCAAGAAAAACACAAGTTGCATTTAGTAATGATTTACAGAAATAACTTAAGAATGTTAATTTCTCAAAAAGTAACAAATTGCTGTTTAGGTGTACTCTAACTCTGAATTGCAGAAGAATTGCTACGTATAAGAAATGGTACTGGGAAATGAAATTAAGAAATTAAGATGACTCTATACAAGAACTTCTTCTGTTCCAATCATTGAGCAATGGAAAACTACTTCATAGTGCTATCATTTGTTACAAAAGTCTCTGGCAGTTTCTATAAAATAAAAATATTTCCGTCTTTGAATTTAGGAAACTTTACAAAGTTGGATGTGACTAGAACACCCGAATGTTTGAATTCTGCATTTTACTTTTATCAAATCTTCTTTTAGTGTGTTAATGACTTTATAACAATCAATAGATAGAATCAAAGATAAACAATTTTTAATTCATGTTGTCGTTTGTGTTTATGACACGACTCTGAGTCACATTGATAATGATGACTAATGTCATTTGATAGCCATCAAACTTTCATAAATAATTTTACATGCTGTTTTAACGTTGCAACAAAAAAAACATCCGTATAGTCTTTATAAAACATACTAATTGTGTGAAAACAGCTTACAATTTTCTACCATATCAAACGATGTGTTACAAACTTTACCAACTAAAGTTGAAATCGTAACAGGAACTTTCAAATGCACAGACGACAAAACGTCGAAATACGCAGAAAGACGACGATAGAATGTCCGAATCTGTGCCGAGATAACAAGGTCGGAGGAATGGGAAAAACTGGAGACAGCCGCGTGCCTCGCGCGCCCGCGCCGCTGCCTCATTAGTGGGCCCATACAAGGCGCGCCTGTGGCTCCCTCTGTCTCGTAAACGAAACTTAAGTGGACATCTTCCCTTAATTAACATAATATTTCATTTTTAATAAACTGTTCACTTTTAAATGTTCAATTGTCTTGACATATACAAACTCGTTAACGAAGCCCCTTGATGTTGTAACCGCTTATCTTTTCCGACGGATCTTAAAGATGAATTTTTAACTTGATTAAAATTAACTGTAATCTGATTTTCGATTAATATTTTATCAAAGAACAAAGTTCTTTTAATATTTCATTTGTTGTGCAAAGTCTTCCTATTTATTGTATACCTTATCAGTAATTTAAAAAAAACATATAAATTTACTTAATACGACACCAAAAATTACTATGAATCTGAAAGTATGGAAAGAATCGCATGTGACAAGGAAAACTTTAATTACGAACGTGCAGGGGTACACCGGTGGAGGAAGACTTAAGAAGAGATGGATAGACGGCGTTAAATAACTGTATATATGATAAATACTAAATTGAAAAATATCCAAACAGCACTGAACTTCAATATCAAAGTTATCGTGTCAGTTGCAAGTTGTGTCGATTGAAACTTAACAAAAGTTTCGAAAGCTTTAATAGACCGATTAGTTCCGATCTTTCGTTGTTCCCATAGCGCACACACATATCACGCAGTGCCGCCACTCTGCTTAATAGTGATAATAGGAAGCACACGAAGTAAAACTCTAGTGATGTTACATTACAGACCGTCGGTACCGCAGTTGTTAAACGCTTGACCAGACCGTACCGAAATCTATACGTCCAGGTTCGAACCCCGCCATGTACTAATGTGTTGTTCGATTTTCGAAATTCATATGTCCATGCATTGTCCGTTGTTACAGTGAAGAAAAACATTGTGATGCAACCTGCACATATCGGCAAAGATTTTTTTATTAAGTTTAACACATATGTAGAATGTAGTCTGAAATAACATATAGTCTACCTATTAAGTTTTTTCTTAATTCCGAGCGGACGGAGTCGCGGGCGGCAGCTAGTATGCCATATGAATAAAACTTTTTAAAATAAATCTTAAAAGTTTTGTTTTTAATTGAATACATTTCTTAATAACTAATATCATTACTATATCATTTCTGATATAAAGGAGAAATTGAGAGATAAAGAACCAGATCTGAGGAACCAAACAATTTGTCATACGGGCACATCACTAGGCGGATGTTAGAAGCAAGATGCACTGCCTGTGTGTAACTCTGGCTTCTAGTGCGGTGTTGTTTGCCGACGCATCTGCTGCGGTCATTAATGCAACAGACATAGTGGCTGTCATCACGCACTGACACAAAACATCTCACTTAGAACATTCCCCCTACTTTCGAGTTCATTTAAGCTTTTATGTCTTTTGAAGTTTGTGGAACTTTTAAACCGCTTAAAATGTTTTAATGAAATTAAACATAATTAAAGTATATTTTAATAATGTGTAGCACGACCTTGTTCATTTAGCTTAAGATGTACAGCATCTTTTTCGATGACATAGATGTTACATGTAATATGTTTATTAAGACATTAATGAAAGCAATTATATGTCTTTTTGTCTACTTTATAAAGAAGAATAGTATTTATTTTTAACTTTAAATGTTTTTTATCGCTGCCCAATAAAATCGCCCACAAACAGTACTTTCTTGTAAAGTTTTGCTTTTATCATCCATTGTTTGCCAAACTCGATAGACTTTGTTACATTTATAGCAGCTAGAAAGTTTATTTACTTTATTACTTATTCACCATTTATGTTGATTTTATATATAGTAGGCGTTCTTGATAATTTTTATTAAATACATTTATGACTAACTTATATTTCAATTTCTAATTTCAGAAAATGGAACTCTTGCACGTCATTATAAAGTCCGGACCATCGCCTAGACCATTAGCCTGGTCTTTAGAGATTTCACCATCTGAAGAGGGCGACGAGTGGCATATGGTGCGGGCGTTTGGAGACAGGGAGCACTGCAAGAGGCTGTGGGACCTAAGACCAGAGCGAAGGAGAAGAAAGGCCAGAGGTGCCAAAAGGACGAGCAGGTCGGACAAGCCAACATGCTCTACGCAGTTCGCCAGTCCACGACCACTGGAAAACGGAGAGGTAAGGAACCGCAGCAGTTTTTTACTTGTTCGATGATTTCCTCAACTCGTTTTATGCTGGTGGTGTCTATCTAGTTTGTATATCTGTCAGCTCATATTTTTTCCTATCGAGTAGCCCAAGGCCATTAGGATGATTAAGACATCGTACGCATCGTTTCAAACATCAATATTATTTCGCAAACAAAATGTTGATTTTGATATGGATAAAACATAACATTTACACCTTTGCTAATTTATTTTGACAGGCGCTGAAGATCCTTTTGATGATTAATAATTTTGATAAATAGTAGCTACGTGAAATGTATTTGAATAATAATACATTTAATATTCAATGTAATTATATTATTTAGTACTTTTGTGTGAACAGATGCACGTGGGCATAGGCGAGGGCGTGGCCGCGCGGCGAGTGCGTGTCTCGCTGCGTGCAGCGCACGCCGGGCCCGCGCGCCAGCAGTACTACACGGTGCGTGAGCTCACCTTGGCTGCGCGCTGCCTCTGTCACGGACACGCTGACCACTGCAATGTCGATTCTGAGGTAACATAACTCACGAGGAACGATGGTGCCAAGGGTAATTCCATGCTTTTTGCTTATTATATCAAGACTTGTTTTCCAGGGTGCGCAGTGCGTGTGCTCGCATGGTGCGTGCGGTACGCACTGCGAACGGTGCTGTGCGGGCGGCGTGTGGCGGCCGAGCGTGTCGTGCGACATGCTCGCCGAGCCCACCGCCACTGATTGCTCGTGCGGCCAACGGGGCAACTGTTCCTACGATGACACCGGAGCTATACTTTGTGTTAATTGCACGGTTAGTTATTATAATAAAACATATATATTTTAACATGGGAAAGTAAGATAAGATATTTGTATCTACTGTAACTCTTTGTACCTAACTTAACACTTTGTTCAGGACAACCGCGCTGGGCCGCTGTGTGATCGCTGTTTGGCGGGCTTCTACAGCGTGTTGCCCGACGGACCTTGCGTGCCCTGCGAGTGCGACCCGGAGGGCTCCGACGGTATAATATGGATTTTATTAAAATAAGACAATTAATATTTTAGGCAAAATAATTCTTAGAATCCTCACTACGTACAGCTATAACTTATTAAAAGTTCGTGTCATCGTTTAATCACATCGATTTATATAAAGTATTACGTTTCGTTTCAGGGTCTTGCGAGTGGGACAAGAAGCAGCACCGTGCTATGTGCAAGTGTCACCCAGGGTACAGAGGCGCGCAGTGCGACGCTTGTGTGGATCCCGAGGCCACCTTCCCCGACTGTGTGAACGAGGTCACCACGCCCGCCTGCAAATGCGACCCCAGAGGCATTGTCGACCCAACGCGCATCTGTGACGAAGTTTGCAACTGTAAAGTAAGTATATGTATAGGAACACTTTACCGCTTCTGCTAGTTAACCCAAAAGACGTCAGTACTACTATTTTTTCTTTTTTTGTTACGATTTTCAGGCGAACGTGATAGGTGAGAGATGCGACACTTGCGCCCCAGGGCACTACGGGCTTAGCGACGCGCTGGTGGCCGGCTGCCGACCTTGCTACTGCTCGCACGTTGCTGACAACTGTGGAGCTGACAGGGAACCTGGCCGGGACGTAAGCACACTACCTAAATATTCATAAAACTGATGCTTGCTAGGTCCATGGCTTAAACTTCTTTGTCAATTATTTAAATTTAATAAACATCCTTTGTGTTTTTGAGGAAAGATGGTGCTGCCCCTTGGAGATGCTTGGCTCATCAGCGACCTGGATGCCAAAGAGACGTACGAACCCTCAGTCGACGAGCAGGGGAAGCCATTCCTTATTACGTATGAAGTGAGTATATTTTTATAAAACGCATTTTTGCTACTCGCAGAATCAACTTTTATTATTTTTTTATACATTTCTTCTTTCAGATAGAAGGTTGGGAGAATTACTATTGGCTGACGAACACGTTCAACGGTGAGCAACTGTCGGCGTATGGCGGGGAGATCAGAGCCACTATATTCTGGGGCGTGGCGCGCGGCGACACCGGGGGAAGCCCTACAATGGGCCCTGACGTCATACTTGTCTCTGCGGGTAATTCTTCCACTGTTATGAATTTGAAAGAAAAGAAACAAATTTACTTCTTGCTCTGCCGGAGCGCTTCGTATTTAATTATGTGAGTATGTTCTTACAAATGTTAAAATTTCAGATGGCACTCGACTGACGTACAGCAATAGCAGCCACGAGGAACCGGGCCGGCTGGAGATTGCGGCGACGTTGACGGAAGGCGGTTGGCGCTCGGAGTTGGGCGATGCGGCCGCGCGCTCCGACCTCCTTGACGTGCTGAGTGATGTGCGCGCCCTCATGATCCGCGCGCACTTTCACAACGACCAGGACGAGGTGCGCTCACAGCAGAAAGAGTATGGTAGTTTATCTGGATTTTGTGTTTTGAGCTTATCTGAGATCTTTATTGTATTGTAGGTCCGTTTAGAAGCGGTAGAAGTGCGTGGCGCGGCGGGCGGGGTGCGCGAGCGTTGTGCTTGCCCGCCAGGCTACGCGGGTGCGCACTGCGAACTCTGCGCGTGGACGCATGCCCGGCTGCGACGCGCGCCCGGCTCCCGCCCAGCCTTCGAATGCGTGCCCTGCCCTTGCAACGGTCACGCCGGGTGTCGAACTGGTAAACATTTCTGAAATATCATAATTAAAACTAATACATTGTAGTTACATAGAAAGTTATGATTTTTTTATCTTTCAAAGTTGATGGACCTTGCGGACAATGCCAGCATAATACTACGGGACTGCATTGTGAACGATGTTTGCCTGGACACTACGGCAACCCTGTTCAGGTATGAATAAATCGTTACAATAGGTATTACAAGCAATAGATATTAAATAAATAATTTATACTTTAATTAAATGTAACAGGGCGCGTGCAAACCGTGCGCGTGCCCGTTGTACCTGCCCTCCAACAACTTCAGCCCCAACTGCGCGCTGGCGTCCGCCGAGGGTGATGACTTTGTCTGCACGCAATGTCCTGATGGATATACTGGAGATCATTGTGAACTGTGAGTGTAAAAATATGTAACTATGTGAGTGTGTAATGTTCACGTGCAGTTCTAACATGCTAGAGTATTGATAGTTGCGACGTGGGGTACTGGGGCTCCCCGACAACGCCGGGAGGGGCGTGCCGCGCGTGCGAGTGTGGCGGAGCGCCGTGCCGCGCTGATACCGGCCGCTGCCTTGTATGCCCGCCGCACACAGAGGGCGCGCGCTGCGATCAGTGCCAGGTGAGTTTATAGCTGACCAGTCATGAAGCCCGTTCATATTAATTAAGTAACTTAAATTCAGGGCTATGTACCTAAAGAATAAAATATCTAAAACCAAATAAAGTTGATCCCGAACTGTGGTAATATCAACGTGTTGTCACAGGAAGGCTACTGGTTCGGCGGAGCAGAGGAGCAATGCGTCCCGTGCGCGTGTGGTCGCGGCGCACTGTCTGCTGCATGCGATGTGCGTACCGGCCGCTGCGCATGCGCGCCGGGCTGGAAAGGACGTGCCTGCGATGAGTGTGCACACATGCACGGCGGTAAGATTCATGCACCAAGATTCCTAACATTACGGGCAAGCTAAACTTCTACAACAAAGAAATATATTTATCTGCACATCAGACGTGGCGGCGGGTTGTCCCTCGTGCCGCTGCGGACTGGCAGCGCTGTCAGCAGTATGCGAGTCTCGCACCGGGGAGTGCGAATGTGCGTCGGGCGCGGCACCGCCACACTGCGACACCTGCTTGCCCGCGCACTACGCGCTCAGCGAGACCGGCTGCCTCGGTGAGTCAATTGCATGACTCTTTTTATAACTTGTTTTATTTTTCAGATATAATTCCTTAAGTTTTCTCTTGCGCTTTCATTGATTTAAGAAACTAATGTGACTTCTACAACCATGTTCATCATCTTTCGAAAAGTTAGTTAAAAGTTAAGTTCATAAGAATCTACGGATGACATACTAGGAGTAATATCGTTCCACATCACCCGCGGCTGTGAGGGAATTCCAAGAGGTAATATCGGTCCTGCAATTTACTTAATACGTGGGATAGCCAGGACTAAGCACTGCGCTCGAGCCTGTGGTGTGCTGGCCCACCTCGTTGAGCCGCCCGGGGACCTACGTTATTACATGCCTTGTAACGTTTTGTTTGTTTAACATAACTACATTAGTATGTATTTACACAGGACGTAACACAAAACAGTATTGTATTTACACAATAGTTATTTCTATATTTAAAGATAGAACACTTTTAATTAGCTTACATCTAGGACACCTTTGGATAGTTCGACGTATAACTACATGTGGTTTGAATTTCAAACTTTTTCATATTTAAAATGTAAAAAGTCCGCGATGGAAACTTTGTGTTTTTTTTACAATTTGAAACATAACGAAGTGTACAGACAAAGTGACATGACGAAGATTGCTTGAATCTATTGCATAAATATCAAATACGTCTTTTTTTTTGTTTGTGTCAGTACGTGACAGAAAGTGCAGTGTGAGTTATGACGTCAGATGAGGGTTTGTTTAGCGTCTGCAGTGCAACTCGATGGCGGGCAATTTGCTGAAATTGCGGCAAATTATATTGCGTCCGCGCCGCGCCACTCCGCCGCCACTCAGCTGCGTAAATCATTGAATTTGCATTCAACTTGATGTGGATCGCCACTCGCTGTTAACTCTACACTGCTTCTATTTCCAGATTGTACTTAAAACAACGTATATTTCGAGCTACAGCTATTCGTATTTACGAAGTATGAGGAATTTAACTGTTGTATATCGGGTCTGATTGTATAAAGATGCAGAGTCGTTTATTTGTAGTATATAGGAACAATAAACGATGCGCTTTTCCAAACACATCTTACAAGGCAGTGGATCCGCTTCTAAAAATTAAAGGTTTTTGGTTTTTCACTGCCTATAGATCACTGCAACATATAAATTTAGACAAAATATCTAATCTTGTCGAAGACTTTATTCAGATCTTCATTAATGTCTAAGAAAATAAAACGACTGCTGTGGGTTGTCTCGCGCCGTCAGACAAGATCCTCGCAAGTGTTGACAGACTGATGTACACACTTCCACAAAATCTCGTGCGTTCACAAAAAGTTGTGCAAAAACTATTACTATATCGATAGAATTAGCTTTAGTTACAAGAAGATGACGTCATTACCTGTCATTCTTTTATATGAGTATATACTAGCTATTAAATTGTTTCTCACTCTTACATAATTTAAATAAACTCCGTGTAATCTTGAGACTATTAACCTTCCAACAAGTTTTGTTTTCTAAACTTCAGATGCAAATAAAAGGCTCTCTTTAATCCTACATTTATTCACACATTATTAACACTACCTGTCGCCTGCGACTCCGTTCGCGCGGATTTGAAAAAAGACTTAATAAGTAGCCCATGTTCTACATCTAAGTTAAATTTCATCGAGATCAATGTAGCCATTTTGGAGATACCATCTAACGAACATCCATCCATCTATCCTTCAATACATCCAATCATTCGCATCCAAAAAATTATAGTAAGATTTTAATATTAACGTACGAAACTGTATTAAACAGGTCAGTGTAATATTTACCAGAAGCAAATCCAGTACCGGTGTCGTGATGTAAAAATAAACAGTACAGTACAGCGAGCCAGTGTCTGTCCTCATTGATCTACTCGATGTTATTAGCAATTGCTTCATACTGTAACACTAATAACTATAGATAGAACTCACTTGTTGTGAAAGTTATTAGGCCGAAAACTACGGAAGGTTAAAATGATATTTGCCAGAGAGGAATGAGAT